TGCGTACTATGATATTCTGGTAAAAGATCAAGTATCTATGTAAATGAGTTTCTGCGACAGTGTGTGCATCAGCATTTCTCAAAGAGTGTAGGATACTCCATAAAAAAATCCCACGTTCAAATTTGTTTGGGAAATGCCGCATATTATAGCCTCTTGTGGAGATTCATATTAGCTTGTCAAAGGCTCTTAAAAGTCCTAGAACAAAGAAACGTTTAAATGTGTTTAATCTAGCATCTCTCAAACTTAATTGACCACAGAGCCCTATTATCTAATAACATTTATTAAAACGGAACTATTGTTTCACGGAACAGATTTTGGGAAACTGATAACAGAAGCATAGAAAAAAAGTTTGAAAGGAGATACACCAAGATGCTCACAATGCTTATTTCTGGGTGCTTTAGGATTATGGATACTTTTTCTTCTTGCTATATTTTAAGAAATATTTTGCACTAAGTATGTATGATTTTTATATTCAAAATAGTAATAAGGCTATTCCCATTTTTCAATCACATGTTTTAAATGAAGGCAAAGATAGTTTAAGATGGAAAACAATTTAATTTGAACTGACAGATACTTCCTCATTGTAAGCAATAGCACATTCTCCACTGTCTTGGAATCCAGCAAACCAAATGCCATGCTTGACCAATTGAATCTTCTAGTACTTCATTGGAATGTTTCACCTACAAGAATACTGGGAAAGGAAGAGAAAATGATGAATGCTGAACTAAGTCTAAATTCCTATACACTCTCTTTGGTCTGCACAGTTACTTGGTAGTTACATCACCTTTTCCAAGATAGGATTTTAGACTGCTTCTTCTCTTAATATGAACTAAATGATTTCATACAGACAAAATGCTTCGATGACTTGGGAAAATAAGAGTAAGAATGTGTTTCTAGGGCCGGTCCCGTGGCTTAGCAGTTAAGTGCGCATGCTCCGCTGCTGGTGGCCCGGGTTCGGATCCCAGGCGCACACCGACGCACCACTTCTCCCGCCATGCTGAGGCCGCGTCCCACATACAGCAACTAGAAGGATGTGCAACTATGACATACAACTATCTACTGGGGCTTTGGGGGAAAAAAAAGGAGGAGGATTGGCAATAGATGTTAGCTCAGAGCCGGTCTTCCTCAGCAAAATGAGGAGGATTAGCACAGATGTTAGCTCAGGGCTGATCTTCCTCAAAGAAAAAAAAAAAAAAAGAATGTGTTTCTAGTGCAGTTGGGATTGGAGGTAGAGGGAGAAATATGGCAAAATGGTTTTTCTTCTTTTGTTTTCAAAGTATCTTTTTAAAAACATACTCATCAAACAATCCTGTGTGTTGTGGAAAGATTGGGAAGTGCAGATAGACAAAAATAAACATGGAAATAATAACAACAATAGAAACAATAATGAAAACCACCAATTCACTACCACAAGGAGGTATCCAATGTCTAATACTTTGGTTAGGTCCTTAAAGGCTTTTTCCCTGTACCCATAGTTTTTAATAACTTAGATTAAATTGTATATCTTCTGTTATAATCTACTTTTTTCCACTCAACAATATTTCATGAATATGATTCCATGTAATTGTCCTTCTACAACAACATTGGTGACTATGTAGTACTCACTGTATGAATGTTCAATGCTTTCTTTAACCAGCCAATGGACATTTAAGTTGTTTCTATTTTTTCACTATTATGAACCATACTAAAAAATCTTTACACTACATGTATCTTTGCGTATTTGTTAGCGCCAGTCAGTCCTTCTGATTGCCACTGGAATACGGAGAGATTGGCCAGGCTTCCATCTTGATTTCCTCAGATAATGAACAAGCTGCCAGCTTAAGCCTTCATTACAGCTACAGCTAGTGGCGCATAGGTGAGTACAGAGGATGAGTAAAGAGACCCAGAGAGACCGCAATCCTTACTGTGAAATATATTAATAAAAGTCACCAAGTATCATTGAGAGTCTACTATGTGTCTCCTGCATCCATCATTTTTTCTCTAATCTTACTGTCACTAAAGTCTCTGCTTATCTCTACTTCACGGTGTTGGTTTTTTTGATCCTGTTCTTCAGATCTCCTTTCATATTTTTTCATCAATGTCTTCTTTTGTTTTGCTCTCTCTTGCCCGCCCTCTTGCCCTCACTGTCCTCATTGCTGTTTTTTTCTTTCACTAGCCAGCTTGCTTGTTCCTAGCGAGGACTTACCGGTTTTTCGCCTCAGGTTGTGCTTAACCAATACTTCAGATGCTTCTGATACAGCTGGCCTGCTGGCCATAGTTTAAGTAACAAATTACTTAAAAGATATATAATCAGATATATCTTGACTTGAGTCCTGGCTTCTTTAGCTGGGAAATGCAGTCTTCCTCTGGGAAGAAGGAATGCTTGGGAAGAAGGAACGGGATTGGTGAACATATAGCCAGTTTCTGTCACAGTCTGTCTTACTGACCACCTGCTCTCTATTTCACTCTTCCTTCCGTACACGGAACACAGCCACCCTGTAGTGCACACAGAAATACGCCACCCAGATCCCCTCCTTGAGAACTGCCTGGTTTCTCTAGCTGCTGAAAGTGCTATCAATACACAGCCTCTATCTGTTAGCTCTTTCAGCGTTTGCCTCAGCTGCCAAGAGCTACCTGCACCTCCTGGGGCAGCCCACATCCAATACTGATTGGGGTGTGGTTACAAAGGTCCAACCATTTCAGGCTAATGTAGGACATCTCTGATGGGGTCAACTGAGGCTTTATTGAGCTTGCAAGGCAATTCAGCTTCTCCCTACCTCCACAGGCGTTGATCCTCAGGCATTGATCCCTGATAATCCCGGAGAATACCCTGCACACCAAACTCCTGTCTCTCTGTCTGCTTCCAGAACATCTGACTTGTGGCACAACTTTTCTCGAAGACTAAAACCCTGTCTCCAGGGTTTTAATTAAAAACCACTGTCTCCACCTCAAAGTCCAGAGTATCTGGGTGATGCTTGGGTCTCTCAAGTCTGAGTTTGGCTCTTCTTCATTAAGTGACCTATGAACTAAAACAAGTTATCTGTCCCTGATCTCCACACCCCATATACAATGCTGGAGCAGGAAGAGGACAACCACCATAAACACTCCCATTTCAAAAGAGGAAAAATGAGAGACACACAGCAGTTACTGCTCTATAGTAATCCTGGAATCCTGCTGGGCAGGCATTGATTAAACTCCAGACCTTGCTTTATAGGAGGAGCTCCCTGGCCCATTGCCCACCCTCTGGGAGGCTCTTCCTATCTATTATTGTCTGTGGCTGCATCTGCAGCAAGTGTTGGGGAGCCCCTCCAAGGGGCCTTCAAAGCCTGTGTCCTTCTCATGGAAGATCAGAGGTCCGAATACTGTTTTAAGGCCCAAACAACTGATAGCTCATCTAGTTCTGGCTCATAGCTTCTTTGGCAATAAGCTTCTCTCAAAACTTAGCTGACTTCTATTTGGATCTAATCAATTCTATGTGCCAATATGTATATATCCAAGGTTGTTTCCTAGACAAGGTTCTTGATCCTGTGATCATTTTGAGGTTATTAGAAGCCATGAGTGGGGACGCCACAACCTTAATCTGATCTTTGCCCTCAGCCACTTTATTAGATTGTGAAGTCTGAACAGTCCTTTACTACACAAAGCCTTTTTTAATGTGTGTGTTTGAGGAAGATCAGCCCTGAGCTAACATCCATGCCAATCCTCCTCTTTTTGCTGAGGAAGACCGGCCCTGAGCTAACATCTATTACCAATCCTCCTCCTTTTTTTTCCCTGTTTTCTCCCCAAAGCCCCAGTAGATAGTTGTATGTCATAGTTGCACATCCTTCTAGTTGCTGTACGTGGGATGCCGCCTCAGCATGGCTGGACAAGCGGTGCGTCGGTGCGCGCCCGGGATCCGAACCCGGGCTGCCAGTAGTGGAGTGTGCGCACTCAACCGCTAAGTCACGGGGCTGGCCTCCACAAAGTCTTTTTTAATCCTGCCACACACTTACATAGGTTCCCCCACTTGGATTCTGTCTCCCACCATAGCACTGACCCACCAGTTTATAATTATTCAATTGTCTTATTTCTTTGTCTCTCTAGCAACTAGGACAGAGACAGGCAAGTAGTCATCTCTTGGTAAATATTGATTGAATTAATGGAATGTAGGCTTTTCTAGCTACGCTTAACTATTTTCTTAACTATTTCAGGAATCTCTTCGGCTTCATATGATTTATGTAGCTAAATATTTTGAGAAATTTTCAGGCAATTGAAACCAGCTAATTATATATTTTCCATGTATAATTCCTATAGCAAAGAAAAGGATGATTAGGAGTTAATGAAATTATAAATAAAAAATGATCAGTTGCAAACACTGGTTATTAAATGTCACCTGTAAGTCATTGGTAATGGACAGGGCAGGTTGGAGAAAAAAAGAGAAAGAAGAGGAGACTTTTTTTTTTGGCTGAGGAAGATTCACCCTGAGCCAACATCTATGCCAATCTTCCTCTATTTTTTTTGTGTGTGTATGTAGGTTGTCACCACAGCATGGGCGCCGATGGGTGGTATAGGTCTGTGCTCGGGAACCAAACCCAGGCCACTGAAGTGGAGTGCCCCAAATTTAACTACTAGGCCATGGGACCGGCCCTAGAGGAGACTTTTTGTTTTTTTTTCCTGAGGGAGGTTTGCTGTGAGCTAACATCTGTTGCCAATCTTCCTGTTTTCGCTTAAGGAAGATTCACCCTGAGCTAACATCTGTGCCAATCTTCCTCTATTTTATATGTGGGTCACTGCCACAGCATGACTGCTGATGAGTGGCGTAGGTCCTTGCCTGTGATCTGAACCAGCAAACCTGGGCCACCGAAGCGGAGAGTGCCAAATTTAACCACTAGGCCATGGGGCTGGCCCCTAGAGGAGACTTTTTAAAAGGGACTTGGATGGGCTTTCAGAGTTTTGTTCCCAGAATTACCTTTCTTAAAACTTTCCCTTAATTACAGATGCGCAGGCTGACAGGGAATCTGATTGTTCCTGTCTCTCCCTCAGGTTCCCTCTCTCCTCCCCTCTCTTCATGTCACGCAGCAGCTTACGTGAGGCAGCAGAGGGTCCCCATCAGTGCTGTGATGATAAGCAAACAAAAATGGCTGCTGGAGATATGGAGCTCTTGATGAGATCCCCCAAGTACTCCCTGAAGTTGCTCAGCCAGGACCTGTGATTTTCTGCAGAAAGAGCATAGATGTTCATTGAGGAGAGGTCAAGTAAATGATGAGGCTGGGATTTGAACCTTGGTTCAAGTTCAAATAGTTGTCTCAGATATCATGCTCTTATAGTTGTCCAGAGCCCATATTCTTGACTACTTTGCTGTGCTGTGTCTAAGATATTCAAGGCGTAAACACACATACACAAAAGGTATCCTCAGATGAATATCATCTTTGCCTCCTCATAAATCAATAGGAACAATCATCTCTGCCCCAGACATCTTAAGGGTTGTTTTGAGGTCTTGGTGAGTAAATGGGATACTTTGTGAAAGAGTAACATGAATTAATAAGTAACATGTTGTTGCCTTAGAGTATTTTTGGGAGTTCTACAGGAGGCTGAGGGCAGTGAGTGCCTCAGGAAGAAAAAAAAGGCCACCAGCTCCAGGAGCATCCAGAGAGGGAAGGGGCCAGGGCAACTGGCAGAAGGAACTTTAGAGGGAGTCTGCTGATGAAGGTAAGGCTCGAGATACTGGGTCTTTTCTTTAGGAAGTAGGGGAGGAAGGAGAGGGGACTGTGATGTAACCCCAAGGAAAGAGGTAGGGGAAACAACAGTGTCTGTGGCATAGAGTCAAGAGGATTCACCACTCACCAGCAAGACACTTTCCATAGCTGGAGTTCTGGAAAGGACCTGAACAGCATGGGGTGCATGTTGGAAGCTGGGTTTTGGGAGCACCTAAGCCACAGATCAGTGGATCATCGAGTTTAGCTTGAATTTCACTTCCTTTGTCAAGTCCTCCCTGACCCCTTCCCCAACTTTATTTATCCCTTTGTTTATTTACTTTATTTTTATTTACTTTATTTTATTTACTTATTTTACTTTATTTGTAGCAACTTTATCCTTTTTTTCTCAGGGAGCATTTGTCATATTCCATGGAAGGTTGGCATCTACGGCTTTGGCTGCACATCTCTGAACTCCTAATTCATGTCATTCAGCAAAGGGCTTGGTGCACAGTAAGTGCGTTAGTGCTTGTTGAACTAAATTGAACCAAACCAGAATAGTTTGCTTTCCAGTGAACATTATTTTTAAATACAAAATCAGTTTTTCCTGACCTGAGACATAAATCTTATGTCTTACGCAGCTAGGAACATTTATCCTAACAGCAAACACACCCCTCGAGCGTAGTTTTGATCCTGCTTTATCTTCTGTTCCAAAGGCAGATAAAGGCGATGGTGAGGAAGTTACAGTCTCCGGCAAGAGGCAAGACAGAGAGCACAGCAGCAATCCGATGCTCAGCAGCTTCTGGGGAGAGTCCATGGACTCTCCTGAGGGCCACTCAGCTGTCCTCCTAGCTCACTCGGACAAGGGGAGATTGCTTTTTCCTCCGCTCTTTCCAAGGTTAGGTAGCTTTGTCTGAAAAGTTAGAAAGTGGTGGTTTAGTTTTTATTGCAAAAAGCTTCTCCCCTGTCACGAACACAAGAATAATTCACGGGCTGACACTTGAATCCTGAATGTGGTCAGTTTCCAAAGCAAAATGTATCCCACTCCAAAAACCAAAACAACACAAAACAAAAATTTACTGTTCTCTGTCAGGTCAGATACCTGACATTCCCTCCTAAACTAGATCTCCCTTCAGGCTTCCCTAACTCAATTAGTGGAAACTCTTTGAGTTGTTCAGGCCAAAATCTGTGGTGAAAACTTTGACTCCTCTTTTTCACTCCCACATCTGATCTAGCAGAAAAGTCTGGCTAGCTTTATCTACAAAGTGTATCCATAATCCTGCCACTTCTCACCACCTCCACTACTACCCACCATCACTGCTGTCTCCCTTCTTCCATCCTTGCCTCCCTTCAGCCTCTTTTCCACTGAGTAGCCAAAGAGATCCTGCTTTGTTGAAGCATAACGGAAATCTGATGAGTAGCTTCTGGGAAGATGTTTTGCTGTCTTGATAAAAAAGATAGAGCTACCATTTTCCCTTCGTGCTGCCTCAAACATTAACTGTTGCAGCAGCCATCTTGTGGCCATGAGGCAATGTGCATGAGGAGAAGGCCAAGAAAATGACATCTCTTCTGGCTCTGATCATTTCAAGCCACTAAACCAACACCTCTATCTTCCCACCTCTGAATTGCTTGATGTGAGAAAAATAAACCCCTGTTTAAGCCATTATAATTTGCACTTTCTATTACTTAAGACGTATAATTGATACACTCATCCACTTTTTGATAGGGCTTAAAGAGACCTGTGTCAGTTGGGAAGTCACTTACCTGAAAATTGGCTTAGCACCAAGGAATCCAAAGAAGCCAGTGAATGAGGCCTCAGAGTGCAGCAGTCTTCAGAAGAAGCTGGCCAGAGTCTTCCTCTAAGGTCTCTGAAGTTCCAAATAGAATTCTATCACTCCTTGTGACATCATTTACTGCATTTGACCCTCTCCCAGTCTCTATTTGACAGCTAAACATACAGACATCTTTTTCTGTCTATGCATAAATATCTGTGTTGATACTGAAACCCATTCTCACAGTAGCTGTATCCTCTTAAGCTTGAAGAATTCTAAGATATTTTATTTGCCGCGTGGTATCTACTACACCTTATAATAGTGTATATATGGGACTTTAATAGATGATAAAGGTGGCATTTCATATCAGTGTGGAAAAAAGACATGGTTTAATATGATGATTGACTCTTCATTTGGATGCACTGAAGTCAGAGCCCTACACACAGAAAAATAAATTCTAGATGGATCAAGGACTAAACAAAAATAAAACCATATACATATTGGAATAAAATATGGGTGGACATTTTTATAATCTTGGTGTGGAAAAAGCTACTCTACGCATGTCATAAAACCCAAAAGCCATAAATAAAAATACTGATAAATTTATTGCATAAAATATGAAGCTTTCATACAGCAAAATACTCTAAAGAAAGATAAAAGATTAATGACAAATTAGGTAATACATTTTATAACATATGTGACAGATAATAATATTCTTAACATGCAAAGAACACTTACAAATTAATTTTTTAAGAAAGATGATCACTTCCATAGAAGAACTGGCATAAATGATGTATCAGCATTCTATCAGAAAAGCAATGGATAAATAAATTGTGGTCTACGTTATATTATGGAATACTACACCACAAATTCAAATGAGCCACTAAGAAATATCTACAATAAGGGTTGCTTCCAGTTTGGAGCTGTTATGGATAGTGTTGCCCTGTCTCTTGGTTCACATGGCAACTCTACTCCTAGGTTATCATCCAACAGAATTGCCATAGGGTATCTGTATGCTCAACTTTAGTAGATAATGCCAGATTGTTTTCCAAAATAATTATACCACAAACAGCATAAGAGCGTTCCAACTGCTACATATCCATTTATCAACTGTACATATCACAAATATCTTCTCCCACCCTGTAGATGAGCAGAAGATCTGAATATAAATGTGGTCAAATTTATCAATCTTTTCTTTCATGGTTAGTGGTTTTGGGGTCCTGTTTAAGAAATCTATGCATGACCCAAAGCTGTTATCTCCCGGAATTTTTATTGTTTGCTGTTCATAGAGCTTTATCTAATCTGGAATTGATTTTTTTTTTGTATAGTGTGAGGAAGGGGTCAAATTTCACTTTTTCATATGGATTTCTGATTGACCCAGTACCACTGCTCTAGAGAGCTATTTTGTCATAAATCAAGTGTCAATATATCTATGGATCTACTTTTGGACTCTAATATGTTCCACTGGTCTATTGGTCTATCCTTGTGCCAATACCACATGGTGTTAATTGCTGTGGCTTTAAAATAAATCTTTCTATCTGGTATCAGGAATATTTTGGCTATTCTTGGCCTTTTACATTTCCACATACTTGAATTCCACCAGGAAAAAATATTGGAATTTACGTGGAGATTGTGTTGAATCTATAGATCAGTTTGAGGAGAATTGACATCTTTATAATATTGAATCTTCTAATCCTTGAATATAGTACATCCTCCCAATTATCTAGGTCTCTCAATAAAATTTTACAGTTTTCTAATTAGAGTTCTTGGGTATCTTTCATACAATTTATTTCTAGGTGTTAGATATTTTTGATGCTATTGTAAATGTTACCTTTGAAAATTTTTATTTTCTACCTTTGTTGCTGGCACATAGACATACAATTTTCATATTGAACTTCTGTCAAGAAAGCTTGCTAAACTGATCTATTAATTTGAATAACTTATCTGTAGATTATTTTGGATTTTCAACATACACAACTATTTCAGTCTGGGAATAATAACAATTTTATTTCTTTGTTTAAAATTCTTATGTTGAATTGGAAGACTTAATACTGTTAAGATGGCAATACTGCCCAAAACAATCTACTGATCCAATGCAACCCCTATCAAAATCCCAAGGGCCATTTTTTTTTTGGCAGAAATGGACAATCTGATCTTAAAATTCATCTGGAATTCCAAGGGATACTAAATAGCCAAAGCAATCCAGAAAGAAAGGAACAAAGTTGGAGGACTCACACTTCCCAATTTTGAAACTTAAATACAAAGCTACAGTAATCAAAGCAGTGTGGGTTATACTATACTATATGTCTATACTATACTGGCATAAGTATAGACATATAGATCAATAGAATAGGATTGAGAATCCAGAACTAAACCTAAACATTTATGGAAAATTGATTTTCAACAAGAGTAGGGTGCCAAGACTATTCAATGAGGAAAGAACCATGTCTCCAATAAATCATGCTGGACAACTGGATATCCACATGCAAAAGAATGAAGTTGGAACCTTACCTCACCTCATATACAAAAATTAATTCAAAATGGGTCAAATACGTAAATATAAGAGCAAAAACTAAAACGCTTAGCAGAAAATATAGAGGTAAATTTTCATGGCATTGGATTTGGCAATAGTTTCTTAAATATGACACCAAAAGCACAAGCAACAAAAGAAAAAATAAATTGGACTTCATCAAAATTAAATTTTTTTGCATCAAAAGACACTGTGAGGACATGAAAAGACAATCCATATAATGGGAGAAAATATTCCCAAATCATATTTCTAATAGTGTAGTATCAAGAATATATAAAGAATTTTTACAACTCAACAACAAAAAGACAACCCAATTTAAAAAATGGGCAAAGGACTTGAATAGACAGTTCTCCAAAGAAGACATACAAATGGCCAATAAGCACATGAAAAGATGCTCAATGTCATCAGCCGTAGAGAAATGCAAATCAAAACAACAGTGAGATACCACTTCACACCCACTAGGATGACCATTAAGAAAATGGAAAATAACAATTATTGATGAGAATATGGAGAAATTGGAACCTCATACATTGCTGGTGGGAATCTAAAATGGTGTGGCTGCTGTGCAAAAATTTGGTGGCTCCTCAATAAGTTAATCATAAAATTACCATAAGACCCAGCAACTCAAAAGAACTGAAAACAGGTATTCAGACAAAAACTTGTACACAGGTGTTTATAGCAGCACTATTCACAACAGCCAAAAAGTGGAGACAACCCAAATGTCCACCAACAAAGGAATGGGTAAACAGAATGTGGTGTATCCACAATGGAATATCATTCAGCCATAAAAGAGAATGAAGTATTGACATGCTACAACATGCATGAACCTTGAAAACTTATGATAAGTGAAAGAAGCCAGACAAAAAGGCCACATAATGTAAGATTCTATTTATATGAAATGCCCAGAATAGGGAAATCCATAGAGACAGAAAATAGATTAGTCATTGCCAGGGGCTGGGTGGAGGGGAAAATGGAAAGTTGCTGTTTAATAGGTATGGGATTTCTTTAGGGGATGATGAAAATATTCTGGAACTAGATAGAGGTGATGGCTGCACAATGTTGTGAATGTACTAAAAGCCACCGAATTTCACACTTTAAAATAGTTAAAATGGTGGGGAAAAGTCTAAAGCAGTTCAAAATCTTTACCTTCTCTTCTGAACCACAGGACCTTAACACTTTAATTCTGTTCTCCTCCTCCTGACTTATATGCTGTTGTCTATTTTAGGGATTATTTTTATTACCACAAGACATTGTTGCTGTTTTATTTAGCCAATATTTATTTAGCTTTATCTACATTTTTAACTCTCTCTTGTTCGCTAATTCTTGCATCTAAGACAGTCTATATGAGATCACCTTCTTTATGACTGAAATATATTCTTTAAAATTTCATTTTGTGAAGGTGTGTTGGTGGCAAACACTTCCATATTTTGTTTGTCAGAAAATGTCTTCATTTTGCCTTCACTGTTGGAAGATACAGTTGCTGAATATACACTTTTAGGTCAACAGTTATTTTATTTCAGTACGTTGATGATATTCCACTGTATTCTGGCTTTCATTGTTGTTGGTGAGATATCAGTCAGCTG